TGTCACCCACTTTCATCTCAGCAACCAGGAAAGCTGGGAGGCTGAAACTTTGGATATATGCTCCTAATTCGTGTGCCACCCTCCCGTTTCAAGATCTTCCTCCACACGTGCCTAGACCCCGCGTGCGGTCTCCCGAAAAAAGTATGCGAACTTCTTTGGCGGGAAACGATTTTGAAAACCGGGAAAGATACAAAGCTGAAACTTTGAAGGAATACTCTCTGTGCATGTGCGAGCTAAAGATTTCATATCCAGCTATCACACACACGCTTGTACAGCGCGTATCAAAGCTCGCAACTTGGTACTGTGCTAACTCGAAAACTTGCAGGGAAACATGGCTGGAACTTTGTCAGCATGTTTGTCGCCCATATGGGAAATCGAAAATGACTTCCGACTTGCATTTGCGCCATGATTTAGGGCAAAGACATTTGTTACAAAATGGCTATTTCGCTTACCAGACAAGCTGCGGAGCTGCAACTTTGCAAAGATATTTTGTATTCATGTGTGGTCTTAATTCAGTTTGGAGGTGGAATTACCTACCTGCAGGAATACTCAGATTCACCGAGAAATCAGAAACGAGTGCGTTTTGCAGCGAACGACCGCCCTCACCCAAATATGTAAATGAATATTAGTTCATTTGCATACTTGGATTTTTATGCGTTTTTGCTTACATGCAAATGCAAAAACGCATATTGTGACGGCCCCGGTGTGTTTGTATGTGTTCATGTGTGTCAGTCTGTATGTAAGTGTATACAGGTGTGTGTGTGCGTGTGTGTATGTGTGCGTCTGTCCGGTTATTTCAACTCGGCATCCAAGCAAGCTCTGGCCAAAATTTTGCCGGAGGGTTCCCCAACCAAGTGCCACCCCGGGACCGCGGTACCAACCTAAAAAGCTGAAATTTTGAGGATATGTCTCCCGTCCACATACAACTCAAAGATATCAAATTCAGCCCCCAGGTGTGCGTGGTTCCTGCGTATGGTCCAGTGAGGGTTCCTGGCGCAAAAATCGCTAACTCAGGAACCAGGAAAGCTGGAGGGTTGAAATTTTCAGCACAAGTGTAACTTAAAATATTTTTGTGGTACTCACGCATGGCCCCGTGAAAATTTTTGGCGCGAAAATGGCTAACTCAAGAACCAGGCAAAAGCTGGGAAGCTGAAATTTTCAGAGAATGTTCCCAGCACAAGTACAACCTACAGTTAGCGAATTCAGCCCCTCAGCGTGAGTCGTACTCAGGTACGACCCTACAAAAATTTTTGGCGGGAAAATGACTAATTCGGAAATCAGGAAATCCGGGAGGCTGAAATTTTTAGGGAGTGTTCCAAGCACAAATACAATTTGTGATGATTAAATTCAGATCCCGAGCATGCGTGGTTCTCATGTACGGCCTCGCGAAAATTTCCGGCGCGAAAACAGATAACTCGAGAACCGGAAAAGCTGGAGAGCTGAAATTTTCAGAGAATGTTTACAACACAAGTGCAACCTACAACTATCAAACTCAGCCCTTCAGTGTGTCTGGTGCTCACATACCGCCTCGTGAAAATTTTTGGCGGGATAATGGCTAACTTGGAAACCAGGGAAGCCGAAAGGTTGAGGTTTTCAGGGAATGTTGTTAGCCTATGTACGATTTAAATTTATCAAACTTAGTCCCCGGGCTTGCGTGGTTGTCACGTACGGGCCTGTGCAAAATTTTTGGCAGGAAAATTGCTTATTCAAGAACCAGAAAATTCCGAAAGCTGAAATTTCAACGAAATGTTCCTTGTCCGAATACCGCGTAGAAAATTAACTTCCTGGACTTCAAGGACCAGTATATCACACATTTCTAGCTATTGAACTTTCGAGCGATTTCATTACAGCACGAAATATTGTGAAAACGCATGACCGCACAGACCCGCCCGGTGCGCACCGCCAATGATTTGAAAAACGACCGCTCGATCAATACTTCCACTTTTTAGTGAGTTGGAAATTTGCATTTTTCATTTTTTCAAAAAGTGAGCATTTATCGAAAAAACAACCAAGCTTCATCAAAAAACTGGTAATCATATACCTGGAAGTCCATGCGGTCCTATCATGCAACACCCTCATCCCAACCGATGCCCATTCTCCTGCTTGCCGGAAGAAACCAAAGCATGGCCAATATGAGCTCAAGTGTTTGACTGTAGCGCAGGGATTATTCCTGCTATTAACGATCTCCGAGTTTAGTGCAAAAACACATGATTGTACCGGCAAGCCTGGTGCGTTCCAGCCTGATTTTTTGTATTTCTGCACATTTATGCAAATGCAAAACGCAC